ACTCTTGGAAGCATGTCATGAATTTTGCATTTGCGGAGCCTGGGAGGTCAAGCCTGCAGTGAGCAGTGATCCTGCCACTGCACTTCAGCCTGGGCGACAGAAAGAGACCCTTTTACTCATTCTTTTTCTTCATCTTTTTTTTTTTTTTTGAGAGGGAGTCTCACTCTGTCACCCAGGCTGGAGTGCGGAGTGCAGTGGTGCGATCTTGGCTCACTGCAACCTCCACCTCCCGGATTCAAGCGATTCTCCTGCATCAGCCTCAGAAGTAACTGGGATTATAGGCATGCACCACCACGCCCAGCTAATTTTTGTATTTTTGGTCAAGAGGGGGTTTCTCATCATGTTGGCCAGGCTGGTCTTGAACTCCTGACCTCAAGTGATCCACCCACCTCAGCCTCCCAAAGTGCTGAGGTTACAGGCGTGAGCCACCACGCCTGGCCAAAATTACCTTATTTGTTAGGCATTTGTGATGTGAAATTTAGTTATTAGCTATGTCTCATTAAAATTTGTATTAGTAACTTACGTGAAAGACCCGGGTATGTTTATTAAACATTTGAATGACATGAAGCTAAGAAAAATTTCATTAACACTCTGAAGGACAAATTAAGACCCACAAACCTCAGCAGGGTATAGAGAGCTGGTTCCAGCTAAGACAAGTTTAATACAAGTTTACACGGATGGTCCTATGCTGAAGTCTAAAAATATCTTAGAAGGTAAAGTGGCCTAGCCAGGCACCATACATCACGCCTGTAATCTCAGCACTTCGGGAGGCTGAGGCAGGTGGATAACCTGAGGTCAGGAATTCCAGATCAGCCTGGTCAACATGATGAAACCCCATCTCTACTAAAAATACAAAAATTAGCCAGGCATGGTGGCGGGAGCCTGTAATCCCAGCTACTTGAGAGGCTGAGACGGGAGAATTGCTTCAACCTGGGAGGCGGAGGTTGCAGTGAGCTGAGATCACGCCATTGCACAATGGGCAATGAGTGAAACTCAGTCTCAAAAAAAAAAGTGGGGGAGGGGAAGGAAAAGTGGCTAATGAAAAAGACAAACCAGTGTCTTGGCTGTCATTATGCTGAAAATGTGACAAAGCTACAAAAAAGCAGTAAGCTTTTTGCTTGAAGGAGTTAGTGACAAGTCCAACGTTATTCTATGCTGCTCAGACCTTTCCCAAAGTTCTATACACAGTTCTAAAGCACTGCACTGCCTTCTGAAGATTAGCAGAGATGTCAAAGACTCTAAAACCAGGGATGGCAAGTTACTGAAGCCAAAACCAAGCCTGTAAGAACAAAAAAATGTTTTTTTACATTTTTAAGAGGTTACAAGAAATAAGAAGAAAGAGAAAGGGAGGGAAGGTTGCTGGAAGGCAAGAAGGAGGGAGGGAAGGAAAGGAAGATTATGCATCAGAGATTGGTAGCCTGTAAATACATGGCCTAAAATATTTACTTTCTGGCAACTACAAAGTGTGCTGACTTGGCTCTAAAACAACCCCATGAGGGACCAGGAAGGACAGGGTATCATGTTCCAATAATTGGGAAAGTATATATGTGAATCTATCCAATGTATATGGTCCTAAGAGGCAGAACTAAAAAGTTACAGATGGCAGGTTTTAGCTTAACAGAGAGGAGAGATTTCTATCTCCAAAGAGGCACCTGAAGTTGGAATGGACTGCTAGAGGAGGTGGTAAATACCCTTCTCTTCTCAATGTCTGAGTTCCAGAGAAGGGAACCACCACTCCCGGGAAATGGGCTAGACAAACGGTTCTCAACCAGGGCGATTGTGTCTCCCAGGGGGCATCTGACAACGTTTGGAGACATTTTTAGTTGTCACAATCAAAGGGGAACTACTGGCATCTAGTGGGTAGAGGCCAGATACGCTGCTAAACATCCTACAATGCACAGGACAGTCAGTCCTTCCACAACCAAGAATGATGTATCCAAAATGTCAACAGTTCCCAGACTGAGATGACCTGAGCTAGATAAACCACTTCCAAAGGTCTCTTCCAATCCTAATAGCTTATTTTTAATTTTTAAAGCTTATGAATCTCTAGAAACCCAAGAGATAAAGAAAAAGAAACCCAAGAACACTGTCATTTTGGACAGGGTAAAAACAGATTTATTACAAAGGCCCTAGTCAGAGATAAGAATATAATTGTAAATTCTTAGTGTGCATGTCATTCCTTAACACATAACATAAACCTGATTCCAAAATTCCACAGTAAAGATCAGAAAAATTTAAGCATTACCATTAAGACTAGACCTCTGAGCTAAACACTGGAGAAATTTAACAAATTTAACAAAATGGTTGATTTTAATTTTAATTAAACTGCCTTGACAGCTACCTCTTAATGAATTAAGTTTAATTAATTAAGCAAGTATCATTTTAAGGGCTTCTCCACTACTATTTTGGTTCCATCTACATGGATGGTCCTTTAAAAATGAGCTTCCTGGCCGGGTGTGGTGGCTGACGCCTGTAATCCCAGCACTTTGGGAGGCCGAGGCGGGTGGATCATGAGGTCAGGAGTTCAAGACCAGACTGGCCAACATGGTGAAACCTTGTCTCTACTAAAAATACAAAACTTAGCTGGGCATGGTGGCGGGTGCCTGTAATTTCAGCTATTCAGCGGCAGGAGAATTGCTTGAAGCTGGGAGGAGGAGTCTGCAGTGAGCCGAGATCCCGCCACTGCACTCCAGCCTGGGTGACAGAGCCAAGACTCCGTCTAAAAAAAAAAAAAAAAAATGAGCTTCCTGCAGTGAGCTATGATGGCACCACTGCACTCCAGTCTGCGTGATGGAGCAAGCTCCCTTCTCAAAACAACAACTTCCTTTCTCTTCCAATATTAAGAATTCATATATATATATATATATATATATATAAGCATTTCAAATTTCAACTTGGCTCTGACACATTTTCCTCCTGAATATGCTTTTTAAAGGTTAGTGTAAAATTTCAGGATCTGAAATCCCAGAAAAATTTTAGGAATAAATATACACCATTTATGATCACTTAGCGCTAAGCTCAAACACAAAATGTTTACTTTTTAAATCAAACACAATAGCGATCAAAGCTACATAGTCTCATGGTTTTATAATTCCCAGCCATGAAACCTCAGCCACATTATTTCATCTCTGTTCCTTTGTGAAATGTAGGGATAAAATAAAATTTGCTTTAAACCGACATGCACCACATAACGACATTTTGATCAATGATGGGCTGAATATACAGCAGTAGTCCCATAAGATTACAGTACCAAATTTTTTACTGTACCTTTTCTATGTTTTTATATATATATATGATGTTACAACTGCCTACAGTATTTAATACAGTAACACCCTGTACAGATTTGTAGCCTAGGAGCCATACACTATACTGCTTAGCCTACGTGTGTAGCAGGTTATACATCTAGGTTTGTGTTGAGTACACTCGAGGACGTCTGCACAACAATGAAATTGCCTGATAATGCATTTCTCAGAACATTAAGTGATGCATGACTGTAAAACAAAACAAAATTTTAAAAAACTACATACTCTTAAAACTTTCCTATACACGAAACACAAGCAAAATAAACTTAAAGCTTGTTACATACTATGCTGGTCCTGGGTGGCCTAAATCATACAACCAACCATGGTGACAAGAACTTAAAAATGAAAAGTATCAGGGTACTATGAAGACACAAGATTTTTTAAAATTAAAATATTAACAGGATTAGAAAGTGATCCATTACCATTCCTTCACTGCTATGTGCAAGGATCATCATCTTTGTCTAATTCACCTTCACAGGGACACAGGGTAGTGGTTAAGTGTATAGGCTCTGGAATCAGACTGCCTGGGTTCATAGCCAAGGCATTATCAGTTATGGCATGACCTTGGGCCAGTAGGTACACCTCCCTAAGACTCAAGTTCATCTATAACATAAGGGCTACTTATGTCTCAAAGGGTTGCTGTGAGGATTAAATGAATAAAGCCCTTTAGGACGGTGCTCAGTACACAGTAAGTACTCAATTAGTTTTTGCAGTGCTACAAAATATGAACAGTTGAATCTTCCTGAAACTAATTTCACGTTACTTTACTGTTTTAAGAAACATAATGGTTTTTTCATACCAAATACTCGATTCCGATAACTATCCAACAGTTCGCACTGAAGCACATACCAGGTTCCCCAACTGAACCTGTTTCTCCATCCTGAAGCATGAGCCAGAGCAGAGTCTAACAAAAAACCATGCAGCCAAAAAGGTGGGCCACATAATGCATTTTTACATTTTCTGGTAGCCATGTATTTAAAAGTAAAACCAGGTAAAAAATTTAATAACATTTTACTTCACCCAATATATTCAAAATGCTACTATTTAAATTACAAGCAGTATTTTTAAAACTACTGAGCTATTTTAACATTCTTTTTTTCATACTAAGTCTTCAGACCCTGGTGGGTACTCACTGCACACCTCAACTCTGGATTTGCCACATAGCAAGTGCTCACAGCCACACGTACTCATGGCTCATGGTTACAGTGCTGGGCAGTGCAGCTCAAAAGCATGCCAGCCTTTTGCTAACCACAAGACTTTGGCCACACAGTCCTTTTTCCCTTCCCACCTCCTTTTCATTATCCCCCTCTTCATCTAGATTCCTCAAGGTCCAACTCAAGTAGAACCTCTTGAGAAAGGCCTATCCCAGCAACTCCAGCTCTTAACGATCCTGACCCACTACAATAAAACTGATGCAAACTTGTGGGCAATGAATATGGGAGGCCTATTACAGAAAAAAGTTCAAGATAGGAACACTCAAGAAATTGACCTTTTTGGATTACAAATATGTATAAATGTAATGCTATCATTTGTAATAAGGAGACAAAATAACTAAATGTCTGCTCGGTGGTTCATGCCTGTAATCCCAGCACTTTGGGAGATGGGTGGAGCCCTTGAGCCCAGCCAGGAGTTCAAGACCAGCCTGGGCAACAAAGTGAGACCCTGTCTCTACAAAAAATACAAAATTAGTTGGGTGTGGTGGCACACACTTGTAGTTTCCAGCTATTTGGGAGGCTGTGAGTTGAGAGGGATCGCTTGAGCCCAGGAGGTGGAAGTTGCAGTGAGCAGAGATCACATCACTGCACTCCAGCCTGGGCAACAGAGTGAGACCCTGTCTCCAAAAAAAGAGAAAGAAAAAAACAACTGAATGTCCATTGATAGAAAACTAGTTAAATAAATGGTAGATCCACATAACAATATTATAGAGCTAAAAAAATAATAATATTCTATATACTAATATAGAAAATCATTAAGATATTTTGAAGTTGAGAAAAAGTATATACTAAGTATGTGTGTATGTGGACGGTGTAAGTATTGTAAATACACACCAAGTCTCAAGAAACAAGTTAATGACGAATGTTTCCAGGAAAGGAACCAGAATGACTAGAACAGGGGTTGGCAAACTTTTTCTAGAATACAAAAAAGGAAAAGAGACATAACTTCTCACTTTACATTCTTCTGTATCTTCTGGAATTTTTAACTTTCACACCATTATAGACACATGCTATGCACCATTTCAAAAACCTCTTGACCCAACATCTTATGCCAGCTATGAAGGATCAATTTCGTGTAAGCTGTGACTGGCTTCGAGCAGGTCCAACCAAAAAGCACTGCTCTGTACTTACTCATTCACTACCTGGAAGTGTGGGGAGTTAATAGCTGTGGGGCAACCAATATGGAAGCTGGTTCTAAGATTCATTTCATAAGCCTCCTTGGAAGTTTCAGACGGATTCAGTACTAGTCACTCATGGAGTAGCTAACTTGAAAATACATCGGCCAGGCACGGTGGCTCAAGCTTGTAATCCCAGCACTTTGGGAGGCCAAGATGGGCGGATCACGAGGTCAGGAAATCGAGACCATCCTGGCTAACACGGTGAAACCCCATCTCTACTAAAAATACAAAAAACTAGCCAGGCAAGGTGGCGGGCGCCTGTGTTCCCAGCTACTCGGTAGGCTGAGGTAGGAGAATGGCATAAACCCGGGAGGCGGAGCTTGCAGTGAGCTGAGATCCAGCCACTGCACTCCAGCTTGGGCGACAGAGCAAGACTCTGTCTCAAAAAAAAAAAAAAAGAAAGAAAATACATCACACCTTTCCTGCATATACCTCTTTTCTGCACTGACAATGTGGAAGAATACAGGCATGTTCTGAGAACAGGAAGTAAACCATCAGAAGAATGGTTGGGGCAAGATTAGAAAGATAAACTGGGCCTCAAATCCTTCATGTTTGCGGACAAGCTCAGAGGCAAGAGGGAAGTCCTTACATATTTTGTGTAACACATAAACACGATCAAGGCACTGTGACCAATTATCAGGGCAGAGTGGAGAATACCAGCCACTGGATCAATCAGGAGGTCAGCTGCACGAAACCTGTGTTAAGGACAAATAAGAGAAGGAAAAAATTCTGCGCATGATGGAAAGAAAAACCACTAGACCTTTAAAAAATGTAGGTGGGCTGGGGGAATCAAGGATGGTGGTGAGGTTTTCTGACTGGTTGGCAGAAATATTAGTACCCTTAAAACGCTAGTATGTATTTAGTACTCTTATTATGTGTATTTAGTATGTCTTTAGTATGTGTGAAAGGGGAACAAAAACAATGGGTTTAGTTTCACATACATTCCACTTGGGGTGATAAAAAGCATTTCAAATGAAGGTTTGGAAGAGGTTATTGGAAATGGATCACCAGAGTTTAGCCTAGGACAGCTCAAGGTTGACAGCCTCCATGTCCTCAATAGGCTCTTGGAAACTACGACTTTAAGTGAAATGATGTAAAAGAAAACCAACTTTCTTTTCTAATCCATGTTATAATGAAACAACACTGAATTAAAATGACATGATTTGATGTCATTTCACTTAAAGTCACAATTTCCAAGAATCTATTAATGACATTAAGTGAGGACGTACTGTATCTGGTTGCTGGCAGCCCAAAATTATCAGCTAGAGATCTGCAAGTAGATGAGATTTCCAACAGATAAGGCAAAGAGATAAAGTTCAAAATATGTGCCTTAGAGAATGTCTTTATTTAAAGAAGATGGAGGGAGGAAAAAAATAGGAAAAAAAAACTATTTTAGATATTTCAAGAGCCAGGCAGCAACTAAAGCATCACAGACTGTCAGGTTAGTTTTGAGCTACTAACTAGATGCCAGATATTTTCAGATATATTGTTGCATTTGATACTCAAAAAAACTTAGGAGCTGTTTTAAGTTTTAACACAAGAAAACTGAGGTCAAACAGGCTTCATTATTCTTCCAAGTTCATACACCTGAGATGGATTCTTAAAAAGTAGAGAATTAACAGTGTCAAATGAGAACTGAAAAAGATCCCTGGATTTAGCAATTTGCTAACTTACAAGTTTCCTTCAAAAAATGGAATTTGTGGTGGCTCATGCCTATAATCCCAGCACTTTGGGAGGCCGAGGCAGGAGGATTGCTTGAGGCCAAGAATTCAAGGCCGGCCTGGGCAACATAGTGAGACCTCATCTACAGAAAAAAATAAAATAAAATAAATAAAATTAGCCAGGTGTGGTGGCATGCACCTGTAGTCCCAGCTACTTGGGAGGCTGAGGTGGGAGGATCACTTGAGCCCACGAGTTCCAGGCTGCAGTACGCTATGACTGTGCCACTGAACTCCAGCCTGGGCAACAGAGCAAGACCCTGTCTTTAAATTAAAATAAATAAATAAATAAATAAAATAAAAAAATAAAAAAAGAATTTCAAGAAAAAGTCAAGGACTGAAGCCAGATAACAACAGACTAAAGTGAAAATGCAGCAAATCCCCTAGTTAGAAGTTTGGTTTATAAAACTGAAGAAACTAATATGGCTGGGTATGGTGGCTCATGCCTGTACTCCCAGCACTTTGGGAGGCCGAGGTGGGCAGATCTGAGGTCAGGAAATCGAGAGCTGCCTGGCAAACATGATGAAACCCCGTCTCTACTAAAAGTACAAAAAAAAAAAAAAAAATTAGCCAGGTGTGGTGGCACATACCTGTAGTCCCAGCTACTCGGGAGGCTGAGGTTGCAGTGAGCCAAGACTGTGCCACTACACTCCAGGCTGGGCAACAGAGCGAGACACCGTCTCAAAAAATAAAAAGAAAAAGAAAGAAAAGAAACTAATAAGTAAGATTAAACGAATGACGTTTTTCTTTTCTAAAATAGGAGGAACATACGAACACGTGTCAGCAGACATAAAGGAAGCAATGGGAAGGGAGAAAATAAAGGCACTGAGGGAACAGAATAGGAACGTGGACACAGAGAGGAGGTACGCAAAGGATGACAGTTTTGTCCAAAACATTAAAAAGGCAGAAAGTACGGGCACAGAAGAAAATACTTCGATGCATACAGGGTTAGATGCAGTGTGCAATTCCAATTTTGGTATTCCACTATTCAGTTATACAGTGTTATATAATGGTAAGTACTGAGATACTAGGGTTTTGGTACAAATACCACTATTTCTGTGTTTTAATAATGTCTGAAACACACCTTATTTACATCTCGAGAGCAGGATTAACAACTTAGATTTTTTTTTTAAAAAACTTGCTTAATAAAAACTCTGTTCTAGTTAAAATTTTAATTCCAAATTTAAAAATTGTAAAAAAAAAAATGAAAACAGCACCTTCATTTAGAAAGTATTCTTTTATACTTTCATGATCCTCAAGAGAAGGAAGAAAAAGAAAATCAAAGAAAAAAGTAATTCCTATTCTAGTTCTAGAGTTCAAATGAACACAAATGTGACTGTATTGAAATTTGATACAGATACCTGCATCGGAATCTTCATCTATACATGATGAAACTAGAGAAAGATGAAGATGCTTTCTTTGAAACAAAATCTACAGCTTGCTACCAAGAAAAAGACTGATGTCCCTGCAAAAAAAAACAAAAACAAAGTTGCTCAATAAGTTATCAAACAACAGGTGAGACTATCTGAAGATAAAGGAGTCAGAAGAAAATGCTTACAATTTGCTTAGAACTTGTCTCCTGGGCACTACTAAGTCAAAAGAAGCTTCTTTTTAGGGGTTGGGTGCAGTGGCTCACGCTTGTAATCCCAGCACTTTAGGAGGCCAAGGCGGGCGGATCATGAGGTCAGGAGATGGAGACCATCCTGGTTAACACAGTGAAACACTGTCTCTATTAAAAATACAAAAAATTAGCTGGGCATGGTGGTGGGCGCCTGTAGTCCCAACTACTCGGTAGGCTGAGGTAGGAGAATGGCGTAAACCCGGGAGGCGGAGCTTGCAGTGAGCCGAGATCCCACAACTGCACTCCAGCCTGGAGAGAGCAAGACTCTGTCTCCAAAACAAAAAAAAAAGCTTTTTTTAAAACTTGTAAAAATGTGCACAAAAAAATATATGCACTTAGGCCGGGCACAGTGGCTCATGCCTTTAATCCCAGAAATTTGGGAGGCACGGTGGGTGGATCACTTGAGGTCAGGAGCTTGAGACCAACCTGGCCAACATGGCAAAATCCCATCTCTACTATAAAAACAAAAAACAGCTGGGCCTGGGGGCATGCACCTGTAGTCCCAGTTACTCTGGAGGCTGAGGCATGAGAACTGCATGAATCCAGGAGACAGAGGTTGAAGTGAGCCAAGATCTCGCCACTGCACTCCAGCCTGGGTGACAGTGAGACTCTGTCTCAAAAAATATATATATATAAAATATTATATA